AATTTTGTGCCACAATGAATAATGTTGTAATGAATATTACCATACCTAAATCTTAGTTCATATCATTTCCTTAAAACTAGAAGCAAAACTGCATACCACATTTAATATTTAAACATATAGCAGTTTGTTTTTGAACTGTGAGACATCTGTTCTGTGAACACAATATGAATTTTAAGCATCTGTGTAACATAGGGACCTGGGCTCACTGTTCTTTCAGAACCCTTTTAGCTGTAACATGCTGATTAACTATGAGTACTACACAAATTACTATGTTGTAGTAGATTCAGACTAGACTTTGCGGTAAATTAAAACTGTTTAATTGAACATGAAAAGTGTTGGTTTTTCCTAGGGCTAATCATAAGCCTTTCTACTTGAAATCTGAGAAAATGGTAAGACTATTTAATACATTGTGTCCTTTTGTTTAGATAAAGCAAAATGAAATGTAACTCTGAAAAAATAACAGTGTAGATTGTATAATGGAGAGGCAGACTCATGTTCACTATTGAACTGCTGCCAAATGCTCAGCTACTTACTGGAAAATTAGTTTTTAATAACGTAATGAAACTGAAAACTGATCTACTGTATTAACTTCGAAAATGTCACTCTTTGCAAATTCATATAAAAAGCCTTTTGTTATGTATCCTAGGATTACCCAACTTTTTCTGAGACCAAGAGGATATAAACACTGGGTGCTTGGGGATTAGACAGCTACAAAAGTGTATTTAGTTGAGAGGAAAGATACCTCTTTGTACTTAATGACCTCTAAGGGATATTTACAGCTAAATAGGCAAAAAGAGCTTGGTTCTGAGAGCTACTGCACCACTAACTTAATGATGATATGTTAATTAAATTTAAGAAATGTTTAGAGGAACACAGGTGTAACCAAAATAGGCCTTTCAGTCTTTGAATGACAGAAAGGTAGTCAGACACAAAATGCTGAACTAACTAAGAAGTATGTAAGATTGCAAAGTGACTTGCATATTCAAAAAGAACCCAAGTTTGAATTTCACAAAGTTTCCCCTTAATTCATGACCTTCAGAGGCACACACTCCACATACACCTTCACTTTCTCGTCACTGAGACAAAATGCTGGACACCCACAGCCTAAAGGAGAGGTTTATTTTGGCTCGCATCTCAGTCTATAGTTAGCTGGCTCCAAGGCAGGAGTGCATGGCAGAAGAAAAGCTGCTCCCCTTAGGGGAGCCAGGAAGGCAGGTATCTCTAAGTCACAGCCCTAGTGACCCACTTCTGACCAACCCCCACGTACACAAGTCAGCTGTGACGCCCCATAATCTAACCATGTTCCAAACACTTGAGGCTTTAAGAGACATTTTAGATCTAAGCCACAATGTATTTCAGACTCCTAAGGAAAAATCAAATGAAACAACTATCTTATTTTTTAAAGATGATCTTGAATATAAACTTAGTAAAGGCTGAAAATACATCACTACTTTCTTAATACAAACTTCCTATTGGCAATAAAAATTTAATATTTATTAAATTGCAGAGAGCCAAGGCAAGCAATGACTGAGAAACTCATGATTTAAATGAGTAATTCTCAAATTAGGAAGTTTGGGAAGGAAAATACCGTCCAAAAATCCTGTGGCTTAAGAGGGGAATATATATACCTGCGCACGCCTATATATATATTTTAGTACAGTTAAGATAGCAATTATTCATTTTCTTAAACTGTAAAAAGCAAATCACAAAATTCTTGGGCTTGTTAGAGTGCACCCCCCAAAAAATTACACACCATATTAAGTGTAGCGGACTGTAAGTGTACTATATTTTAATTTTCCTAATGGTATGATAAATGATGCAATTTAGACTGTTATTCATAGCATATTTGAGTTTTACCATAATGTTCTATTTTCTATCACCAAAAATTAAAAGAACGACTCGATAAGCATCAGAGTAATAACTGATTCAGGCAAGAATTATGAACAGATGCTTAACCTCACAGATAAAAGTTGGAAAAGAAACAGGTATTTGCAAGTATCTATCTGTAAGTTATTTATTACTTTCAACCAGAAAAAGGTTAGGTTACAGTGAATGCATTACTTTGTACTACTGCACACAAATAGGTAAATGTATTGATAATTTTGAGAGTCAGAATTTTTATGTATAACTGCTGAAAGAAAAATTTATGATGCTGTCTTGGGGATTAGCTAAGTGATATGATACATATGTCAACCACAGCATTAAGAATGAGAAGAGGATAAATGGTTCCATATACTTGTAAGGTTTCTACACCTCATATTAAGTATAACATTAGCTCTAATGATAAAAGTGCTTATTTTGTCAAAATAGATTTTAAAAAAAAGCAAGACCTAACTAAACCTCTACAGCTCATGCATTTTATATATAAACATAGAAGTTAAAAGTAAAAAGTAAAGCAACTGGCCACGAGAAAAGATATAAAAGAAGTACCTATGTTATGATCAAATGAAATAGCTTCTGAGACAAAGATTACTAAACATAAATAAGTATATTTCTTAGTAAGCAGATTTAATATTCAATAGTAAATCTTTGTTTTTGTTAATAAAGTTTTATTGGAACACAGCCATGAATAATTTAAGTATCTTCTGTGGCTGTTTTTGTGCTACAGTTGCAGGACTGGCAGGGATGACTGAGACTTTATGACTCACGAGGCTTAACTAATGTAACAGTCCCAACACATGCACAACATATAGATAAATAGTCCCCACAGAACACTAATCTGATACCATCACCTTAAAACACAGCATTACATTTTCATTATTTTTTGTCCTGGCATTAAATTCATATAGTATAAATTTTATTTTTGCAATACTGGGGAATAAACCTGGAATCTTGTGCATGTCATGCAAGTGCCCTACCACTGAGTTACACCCTCAGCCCCTTTAAGTTTTGAGATAGGGTGTTCTTATATTGCCCAAGTGGCCTTGAACTTACAGTGCTCCTGGCTTAGTATCTTAACTTTAGGTGTGTATCACTGCACCCAGCTACTAAAAACTTTCATCAGCCAAATTTTAAAAGAAGTCTCTATTTGTTCAAGTTAGAAGTATAAAGAGCAAATGGAACTGTGAGTATATGCTTTAGAATATGCTCTTCCTAATAAAATTTTAAGAGGATTTGAGCAATCTTAATGATGCATTTCCTAAATTTTGCTTCTCTATTAAGAAACCATATATGCATACAAATCATACATAAATTTGTATGACTAACTCAAGCTTGATTAAAATAAGTTTTTTGCAGAGAAAAAAACATGTATTTTTTCTTGTTTCAATCTGATGAAATAAAACCAAAAACAAAATAAAAACTCCAGAACAAAAACTGGTAAACTGTCCAATATATTAAGGTCATTAAGAAAAATAGGAACAGTAAGAATTGTGGTACAAGACACAGAAAAGGATGATAAAGCAATACTATCAAAGCTGATATGGTTTTCCCTCTTCAGAGAGAAACAATTACATTAAAAATGTAAAATTACTGTATTAAAAAATACTAAAAATATTCTGAGGTACAGTATCCCATTTACTTTGCAAAGAATGTACCCCAAGATCTCCAGCAGCTGCCTGAAACCAAGTATAGGTGCAACTCCTATATATACTATTTTGGTTCCTAATATTTATATCTATAATAAGGATTAATTTATAAACAAGGTAGAGCAAGAAATATGATAATAAAACAGAACAATTGAACTGTAGTAAGTTTTTAAAATGTAGTCTCTTTCAAAATCTTACAGTACCAAACCCACCCTTCTTGCTGTGATGATGGAGATGATACCTAACGGAAACACTTCAGGCTTCTCCGTGGGACATACAATTGCTAGCATTACTACTCTCGCACTGTGGAGCATTAGTAAGCACTGTAAAATAGAGAACGCTTGAACCCAAGGACTAAGGTCCCTGAGAGGTGATCTGATAACTGGCTACTAAGTGACTAATGAGCAGGCAGTACCTGTAACACTGACACCCTGGAGGTGATTCACGCTCCCCGGAAGATCAGGATGATGCTACTGAGAACAACAGGCAATTCAAAACTTATGAATTACTATTTCTGTAATTTTCCACCAACATTTTCAGGGCACTGGTTGACCATGGTAAATGAAACAGTGGGAAATGAAATCACAGAAAAAGTGGAACTGTTATATCACCTATGCAGGACTTTAAGAATATGCAAATTGTGTTAGGTATGTGGCACAAGCCTGTAACTCCAGCACTCAGAGTGTGAATTCAAGGCCAGCTTAGACTACATAGTGAGACCCTGGCTCAGAAAACAAAACAGAACAAAAAACACAAATTAATACATACATAAAGGAATAAATGACTGCTTACAAAAATGGGCTAGATTAGCATTGTCCAGTATAATTATTAAATTAAAATTAATTAAAATCGAACGCCCCATAGTTACATATGGTTAATGCCTTATGGAAGTGGTGGGGGACCTATGACTCACATGTTCTTTGTTGTTAAGACAAAAGATGTGAAGGTACGAGTTGTTTTTTTCTAAGCCCAAACCTCAGTATTCAGGTTTACTTGCAGTACTGGCACTTTGTGATAAGTAAGTGGGGCTTGGGTTGCAGCGTAGGCGCTCATCTTTAAGAGCTCTGCCAACACTGCCCCGTAGTATAGGACTGCTTGGCTATAGAACACTGCTATCACCACAGGAAATTCTGTAGGGTCCCACTAGACTAGGTTCACTGTCTGGAGAGCTTAAATTGTTAAAATAGCGTGATTTTTCCAGGAGTTTTGAGCGCATTCACTCATTTAATGTTTTGTTCTTTTCACTTTACAGAACATTTTTGTTCTTTAATTATAGCTATCCATTTAAAGACCTTTTTCATACTAAACTTAAATGCATTAAATGCATGAAATTTCAAAAGAGGAACAGAGTGTACCTCTAAAGAAGTAGTAATTTAAAATGTCTTACTTTGAATAAAACTTTAAAAATTTCAGAACTAAACAAAATGTATATAAATATGTAAAACTATTATAGCTTTATATTCCTTTAGGCAATTAGCAAAATACATTTTGTTTTAATTTCTAAACATAAATTACAGCTACATTTACCTAAATCAAATAGATACAGCAGAGAAAGCAGCACATAAATTAACAGCTGTAAAAATGTATCAATAAAATCAATCCAAATAACTGATATGAAAACTTTTGTAAAGCACATTTAGAACAATCAATTCAAAAGTGCTTTTGTACTGAATAACTCACTTGTACAAAAGAAATGCATGCATATTTAATCTATGCTTTAAAATGAAATGGCCCAATTAAAAACTATAAATGAAGTGTACATCATTACAATTAACAACAAATACAGTTCTAACTGTATAGCAAGGACAGCATCCAAATTACCCTATGTAACAATCATAAGGAATTCGTAATTGAAAGTAATATGGTTAGAACAAGTGGCATTTCAAAAACAGATAATACAAACTGAAGATATCTTACAAATAATTCCTCAAGTAGTTTATGACACAATGTAATCTTTTGAAAAAAAGCCATCTCCTAATTTTAATACATTCTGATTACCATTCACATTTTTTTCAATTTAGAACTCACTTCATTTTATATTCACTGATATTTTCTTTCATGCTATTTTACAGATAAACTTCGGTATTAGCATCATATCATCTCTACTAACAGATATATTTTCAATTCAGTGATCTTTAAGATGGTTGTATCAAGGTGGTTTAATTTTAAAACTAAACAGTCCTGTGCTCTATGCAAAGACACTGTGGTCACTCAGAGTCCTTTCATCCTGGCGGTTCCACAGGATGGTATTACCCAGCAATGTCACAGTCCTCTTAGTCTGTGTAAGTATATTTACTTAATGATGTATTTATCAAACATAACCGTGTATCAAGACACATCCTTCTCGTTTAGCAACCCATGACTGTAATGACAAATGAGAATAAATTAGGTAAGCAAAAGAAAATAGAACTTTAAAAAGACAATACAGATTTCTTAGGAAGGATATTCTAATCTAAGACCCAAGAAAGCTTCAAGCAATAAAAGCTAAAAACAGCAAATGAAACTTTAAAAAGAATTTCTAGTCAAATGACCAAATAAAACATGCATAAAATTAGGATCTTTACTAAATTAATAATGAGATAATTTCCACTTGGTTTGCAGTCACAGATTACCTCCCTTAACCACCCCCCTCAAATACATAAATATGTCAAAAATAACACTATATCACAAACTTCACAACGTTATAATGTTTATATACTAAGATTCACAGTCTCTGGACTTATTTTTCCACCACTTAAACTGTGAATCATTGCTATCATGTGAGAGTGTTTATTCAACTCCTCTTGCTGAAGTTTCACCAAAGACTCTTTCTCTTCCAAACGACCTTCTAACTGGGTCTTCTGAACCTCTAAGGATGAAGCCTAGGGAATTAGGAGTAGGGGAGAAAAAATTGAGAAGAAAAATAACTTAGTGTGCTTTTTCTTCAGAGATATTTTAAGACTTTTATCCTTCACTTATAAGACTATCATTTTAAGACACATTATAAATATACATCATTAAAGTTAATTAAATTATATAGCACGTTTGAGCGAAGTGGTAATTAGGTAATAGAATTCAAATTGGGAAGATACTTTCAACTTGTCCTTTTGCTGTAACAGTTAACATTGTGAAGAAAAGACTACACATGTAGATTGAGAGTTACTAAAAAGGTAGCCACATGGAAGCAGATGCCCCAAAACCACAAAAGTGGTGGCGCGAAGTTTGATCCTTTTCCTGATGCGCACGCTCTTTAACAGTCTCCTAAGCTCAATCTCTTCTCATCTTCCTGGTTACTAAATAGGCAGGCAAGCACAAGATGTCGCTAACACTCAAGTTATGCATTCATAATAATATAGAAACAAGACTGGACTTAGATTCAGAATACTTTCTATTATTATGCTTATTAGCTGTAATCTCAGATTCCATTTCTTCATTTGTAATTTACTACTATCCAGGTATTAATATATAACTATATATGTATATGTAGCTAAATCAATGCAACATAAAGTACTGGAAACCCCTTCTGTATTCTTTGCACACTTGAAAGCTCTAAGTGCTGGCACATAGTAGACATGTCACGAATGTTTAATGACTTTAGGGTTTTCACACTGTAAGAGAGCTCTCACAGCAAACGACAGTTGAAATACTTTGTGATCTAGTATCTTTTAAACAAAATTACTAAAGCCACAGAACATTACTTTATTCAAATTCACCCTTTTCACAAAATAATTTTTTTTTTTGGATTTTTTTTTTTTTTTTTTGGTGGTAGTGAGGAATGAACCTAGGGCCTCTGCACTGAGCTACATCTCTACCCATTAAATTGCTAAACTGCCTGGGTTGGGTTTGGACCTGCAATCCTCCCAGAGTGCCAGGATCACAGGTGAGCGCCACTATGCCTGGCCAGGAAATAACATTTCCACTCTAACGCAGATGAAAACTGAGCAGTCTTACCTTAATGCTCAACTCCTTTCTCATCTGTTCTGTTCTACTTAATTCCTTTCTAAGGATATTGATGGTTTCTTCCTTATCTTCTCTTTCCTTTTGTAAGACTTTAATCTTTTCGTCTTGTACTTTTGCTTTTTGATGCAAATCTTTAAACAAACAAACAAGCAGTTATGTGTTCAGTAGTCTTAAACTGACATCCTAGAAAGACAGTTTGTAGCTACTGTAAAGCAAAAGAAAGTGAAAGAGAAAGACTGAAGAAATACCTTGCTAGAAATAGAAGTTTCAGAATTTGCTGAATAAAAAACATGAAATGTCCCTTATGGCAATGTTAGGAGAACTGCATTGTAAGTAATGGGTTCTGTAAGATAAGCAAACATTTCTAATGCATTTTAACTTGAAAACTAGCAATGTCTTGCACATAATGCCAAATGTCCCATGATCACAAATGAATCAATGGTTCTTCCTCTCTCTCTGCAGTATTGCGGGTGATCTCCCAACAGCAAGAGGTTACACAGATCTTATTCACAGAGGAGAAAAACAAGGAATCCTTCACTTCCAATGAGATTAGGGAGATGACTGAAATGTGGGAAATGGTGCAAAATTTTGTAGAAAAGCATCAGCCAAATAAGGCTGTAGCAGCAGTGTGAATAATGAATCTGTTTAACGATAATGCAATGTCACATTTCTGTGAAATCCTCAGGAGGCAAAAGCGAGTATTATTGGATAGCCTCCTTCTTAACGATGCACACACATACACAAAAAATGCCACTGAGCCAATAGCAGTGATTCCATGACTGACAGTGGAAGTCATCCTATGGGGTAATGCTCCCCCCTTGTCTCCCTCACACCAGCCACAAGGGTTTGCAAAGAAGTGCAGGTTCATTTATTTTTCTTTACAGTTTGCATTTTCTTACTATTTCATATTATATTACAGTATTGTAACTGTTTTTGTGTGAACATTTCTGGGTTGTGGAACGAATCATCTGAGTTTCCATTATTTCTTATGTGGAAATTTGCTTTGATATGCAAGTGTTCTGGATTACAAGCACATTCCCAGAAAAAATTATGTTCCCAACCCAAGGTTTTGCCGTATTCCTCAGAAAATGACGCTTTTCCCTGTCTTTCCTCCCTTGGTGTCTAAATACAGTATACATTAAAGAAGGAGAGGACAACTGGGGCTAGATGTGAAAAGGACGCGAGCCCTGAAAGATTATATAGGAAGCTCTCTGGGCTCGAAGGCGAGGGAATTACAACCAAACTGCTTTTGTGGATCACTGTACAGATACAGCATTAAGAAATAGTGTCTAAAAGTTACCTAGCAGTGCCACCTACTGTTATGTTTCTTAAAAGCATTTTATTTTAAAAAGGGAATTTCTCATAACCACAGATTTCAAAAAATTAGATTGCTTTTCTTACTTGATCAACTGAAGAAAATGGCTTTGTGGGCAACCCATGTGGGACCCCTCCAGTCTCTCAGGAGCTGTTCCTATTCCCCACCCCTTTACCCAATAAATACTCCTACTCTTAACTTCTGTTGTTCCTTAAAATTCATTCAGCTTCAGAGAACATGAACTCAGCGTATCTGACGTTTAGCATTTCCCCTATATCATCTTGGAGGCTCCAGTGAGATGAGACACTTGGAAGGAGGTAAGGGTTTGCTCATTTCATGGCACCTCTGAAATATTTCAACTTGATTCTGGATTGTGACTTGCTTAGGTAAACAAAATTGTCATCCTTGAGTTTTATGCCATGCCTTGCACCTTTTCCAACTGCTTAGGCCTTTTCTCTTTTATGCACTGTCTTCTGTTAAAATGATGATAAATTTAACATGAAAACATGTGAAGGTTATGATACGTCTTTAATGGGGCATTTTATTCCTGTTTTGCATATTTTGCATTTGGATTCAGTTGTTGAATTTACTAGTATTCCTTGTTTGACCTGATGGGTATGGTTTGTTATCTCAGACACCAGCACTAAGAAAAAGTAGTGTTACAGTGCTCCCTAGTGGGCTTTGACGTGAAATGCTATAAAATGGTCTTTTTATGAACTGTAGTCCATATTTAAAAAATATACATGCCTATTAAGAAAATTGCTTTGGGAAATTTACAGAAAAAAAGGAAAGTTGCTTAGAGTATGAATTACAAGGCAAGTAAAATATAATGGAAAAGTGAACTAATCATTCAAATGTTGATTTTATTCCAACACAAAATATGCTAAAAATACAGAATATCTTAAGTGAGAAACCACTTACTTGCTAATTTACATTCTCTGTCAACTAATTGGTTCTGGACTTCTTTTCTCTGTTCTTCTTTCTCTATTAATTGGGCAATAGTTCTGAAATCATAAAAGAAAACTCAATGTACCATGCTATTTGTGTTTTTCTGCCATTAACAATTAAGAGAAAAATCATAAAACCATAATTACCTGTAAAATTAGCCAACACTTTGTATTTAAATAAGCGATAATTCTAATCTTACCAATAAAAACAATGTGTATAGAAATAGCAACATTTTGCTCCTTAAAACAATCCCAAATAATTATAGAATCAGAGACTTTACTTTTCATTCTGTTGTTTGAGTGATTCATTCAATTTTTTCACTGTTTCAACTTGTTTATTCAAAGAATCACATGTGATCTGCAGGTCTTTATTCTTTTTTTCAGTTTCTTCAGTTCTGAAAAGAAAAGGAAACAAGTTGATATCCTCATGGCGGAAAATATATGATGCAAAAAAGGCAGTGTTTTTTTTTTGGAGCTAGAATGTTGCTACATAGCCCAGGCTGGGCTTAAACTCAAAATCCTTCTGCCTCAGCCTCCCATATGCTGGAATTATAGGTGAAATAACGCTTTTTAAGAGGGGGAATGTTATCAACAAACAAGACAGGCAGAATTCAATCAAGTAAGTCTGTAAAGATATGTCTGCTGAAGTGGTTAAAAATTAATATGAAATATAAATATATGGGACATTAGCCATATATTTTTAATATTGTTTTAGTTTATAGGAATGATACTACATTATATAATTTGCTATAAATATATACAGCTACCTTTAAAACAGTTTAGGATTCTAAATTTCATTACCTCTTTTTTTTATAATTTTAATTTTTATGGTACATGCTCTTCCTTGTAATTAGAAGTTTTAAAACTAGCCAAAAGATAAAAGCATTTGATAAGGGAGGAAAAAATTATCAAACTTTGTTAGTAGGCATAAGAATTGGTATAACTTTTCTGGCGGGAAATCTGGAAGTATCAAAATTTCAAATATATAACATATACACTTTAATCCAGCGATTCACTTACAAGAACTTATTCTACAGATGCAGTAATTCATATAAATAAACTACATTTAATGACATTAAGAGGATGGGTTAAACACAAGGTTCTCTGCTATTAGGCTGAATGAAACGAAACTGCCAATATCCAACTGTTTGCGCTGCAGAAATGAACAATGTTATGTTTAACCTCATACTACTTGTGAAAACCAAGTTTACCCAACTATTATTAGAGTGCCTAAGAACATATGTACCAAGAACTGTTCTAGGCCACTAAGATTTGTCAGTGACCAAAACAGAGAAACTTTTAAATTTCAGATATGGTGACTCTGAATAACGTCAACTGGAAAGAAAGACTCTTGTATTCCATTTCCCACTTTGCTAAGGAGTTTAAGAAAGCAATACCATAGTTCACTAGGATTTTTTGCTAACTACTTCTTTTATGGTGTTATCAGAATGTATGACACGCTTACAAAAAGAGTTTAGAGTCACAGAAATGAAATACAGTGTGTTCATTCCAGGTTCTAACTTTACACAGAAACTTTTAATTTACCTCTGAAGAAGTTCCGTGTAGGATTTTGTCAGTACTTCATGCTCTTCAGCCACAGACTCTAACTTCCTATTATGTTGAAAGAGATGCTCAATATCACTCTGGGCTCTTTCTGACTCAAGCTGTTGTGACTTTAGCAACACACCAAGCTCTTCATTTTTTCTCTCAACTTCTCTCAACATACCAGCAAGTGTCCGTGCCTCAAAAGAAAACAGCACGTAGACGTTTTCATTATCATTTATAGAGAGTTACACACCATACAATATTCCATTCAACAGTAAATCGCATATACAATGGCGGGTCCATAAGATTATGTTGCCTTGCTATACCACAGCCACCTAAGCTTATGTGCTGTCTGCCCCAGAATGAAGCCGCTTAACAACATATTTCTCAGAATATATTTCTAATGTTAAGTAATGCATAAATGTAATACGAACATATCTCATAGGTAAGCATCTACTGAGTTGTGAAAAATTCTTCTAGTTACATATATTTACCTAACTACTACTTGGAAATCTGATGCAGACGCAGTGTCTCTTATCCTAAATGAATGGGAGTGGAAGTATTTTGGACTTCAGATTCTTTAGGCATTTGGAATATGTACATATACATAATAAAGTCTCTTGGAGGTGAGATCCTAAAGACAAAATTTATTGTTTTTATATGTACCTTATATACATATCATGGAGATAATGGTAAACAATATTTTTACTAATTCTGTGAGCAGAACAGTTTCATGGTATAGCATTTTCTCCCTGTGGCATCATGTCAGTTCTCAAAAAGCTTTGAAATACAAAACATAAAAAAAACCAAAAAACTTTGAAGTACTTTGAATTTCAAGATTTTGGATCAACCAATACAGATTTTTAAGTAATATACTTAAGTGAACAAATTTGTAACATAAAAGTAAACTGACATACTGTAAAAGGGTATGGTTTTGGGGGCTAGCCATTAACATTAAACCACTAAGTTTGCACACACCAGCTTTCTCACTTTAGCTAAGAATCAAGAATAAGATCTTAACTACATCAGTTACTGAACCTAACAGTTGAGCCAGAATAACCAGGGAATGCCACTGTCATTTAGTGACATGCAACATTAGAGAAGTGACAAGTAATTATAAAAAGAGGGCTCCTCTATCGCTTTAGTATTAAAAATACTACTTTCAAATGACAAACCTAAGTCCTACTCTGTCTTTAGCATGGAGTATAAAAGAATACTACCAATTATTTAGCATATTTTATGAGAAAATTTTCCAGTATTGTGTGTAAAACATTAAATTCTCTAATAAAATGCAAGACATAGCTAAAACACATAGAATATAAGAATGTTCTATGATAAATGACAAGAATAAATTATGTTAACATCGTTAATTTTCTTCCCTGGATCTTATTCTAAGACAAATTACACCATGTTAAAAGAAGAAAAAAAAAAAGGTTATATTTTGTTATTTTTTTACAATATTTTCATTCTGAAAGATTTTAAAGGTATCTTACTTGTCAATGATTTAATGCTGCATTCAAAAGCCAGACTTTATTATACAATTCATTACAACTGAAATCCAGTTGTATAGATTTTCATTTGTACATACTGAAATTTCATATTACTGAAGCAAACTCTCACCCTAAGGTATAGAACTTGTGTATATCTATACATAGCACAAAGACAAACCTACCAAGCACCTACCACATATAAAGGGCATTGAAGGTCCTGGAGATAAACAATCTCTGATATCATACGTTGGGTGGGATGTAATATGATTTTCACATGGTATATGAAATATTATAAAGTAATAAGCACAGAATAGATACATAGAGGAAAATTAGCCAAATACATGAGTAATTTCTGGAAAATGGAGATATTTAACATTAAATCTGAAGACTGAAAAGTCAGGCAAAGAAAAAGAGGAAAAGATGTCTCAGACATGGAATAGAAAATGCAAAGACAAGCAAACAGAGTACAGCAAGTTCCAGAAAATGCAAAGTAGTCTAATATGGGTGGCTGCAATGAATGTGCACCAATGCTAGAAGCGGGTGGAGAAGTAGTTAGAATCTGTGTGTGTCACATTAAGGAATTTTAATTATCTTCTGAAAGCAGTGGTGGGTACTACTATGAAGGATATGCAGCATAGAAGGGAGGGAAAGAGGGGGCTGGGGATTTAGCTCAGCGGCAAAGCGCCTGCCTGGCAAGCGCAAGGTCGTGAGTTCGGTTCCCGGTACTGGAGAAAAACCAAAAAACACAAAACAAAAGAAGGGAGGGAAAGAATCACATCACCTCCTTAGTGATCCCGAGGGGAAAGGGTGAGGGAGAGTAGAGCCAAACACACTAAACAGTTTTGGCAGAAGTGTCAAGGATGGGGGAGAACAGGGCACCAGACTGAACAAAGCAAGACTATTCAGAGGCTCTGCTGTGAGTCATATGAAAAAAGAACTTTACTTAGAGCAAATAGTGGCAGGAACACAGACAGAGACAGAAAAGAGTAATATATAGAGGCAGAATCAAGTGGACTTGGAAAATACTACCAGAGGTGAGCTGTATGACTTCCATGTTTCTTATCTGGAAAACTCTGAATTATGGTAGAAGAACACTTAAGAATAAGGTTTTAAAAAGGTAAGGGTGATTCATTACTACAGGTTATGCTGAGTCTGAAGTACTTCTATACTAAAACACATCTATATAGGAGAAATTCATTGCTTGAAAAAAGACCTGTGCTTGATATAAAACTGGGAACATTAAAACTGTAGTAATGGTCAAAACCATAAAACATAAATAAAGGAAAAGGGTTTAAGAGTATAATCCTAGTGACTTCCAAAACTGAACCACAGACTATTAGTGATACCGAAAAAGAATACCAACTAGAAAAAGAAATCAGAAGACAATGAATGAAGTACCAAAATTAAAGGAGACAGAATTTCAAAATGGATGTAACAGATGTGTTAAATGTTCAGGACAATTTAGTTCATCTAGAGTGATAAATATTAACTAATATTTTCCTTATGTTTTATTTCATCTATTAAATTTTCTATTCATTAGATGTCTGTCTGTTGTACGCACCTCTGTCTCAGCTTGAGTTCTTTGGCAGCGATACTGTGCAATCAGTCTATCAGCTTGTGCAAGAGCTAGAGCTTTTGCTTCCAAGAGATCTTGTAACCTGCTTTCTTTGGACTATAAGAAAACATACAATTAATTTTCATAGTTTTAACATTTGAAAGCTTATTACATGTACTTAAACATGTACTCACAGCTAATGTGGATATTTTCATCTCATACACATCCATTATGTCAGATATTCTCCCATCATTAATCTGATCCTTTACCTAGGTTTTAATGGAGCAAAAAAAAATCAGTGAACTGTAGCACTTGAAAAATGATAAAATCTGCAACTAAATCATTAAAATATAATGATGAGCAACAAAGGAAAAAAACTGCTACACCAAGTGAGTCACAATATTTCTGTAATCTGGCCAGTGCAGAAAACACCTCAGTAAGATTCCATACACTTAAGATGGCAACCTAAAAAAGTACCTCTTAAACTGGGTGGCAGGGAAGGGGATTAGTAAAGGAGTGATAGCTGTGTTAAAAATGTTTGAATCTTATGACTTCATTTTCTTCCTTTCTTTCCAAATTTTCCAGAATACTTTTTCTACCAAAAGATAAAATCTCAGTGATGACATCCACAATTAAGTTGTTTAAATAAATGACATAATCAGAGCCAATATATCTGTTGGTAGATACTAGCACAATTCTATTTCTAATTGCTATTTATCACTTACCGTCACCCCAGACTGAAGTTTTTCTATTAGCTCCTCAATGTTCAATCCAGGAACATTATCTTTCAACAGGGGAGGAGTTAAACACTTTACTGTTGTTGGGAAACTGTGATTTAATGATTGAAAAGGTAGCCTCCTGGGCATATGTTCTGTTTCCTGTTGTCTATATGCATTGTTTGCTGCTATACTTTCTCCAAGTCTGAACGAAAATCAAAAACAAAAAGAAAAATAACATAAAAATAGAGCAACAGGCAGTTAGGAACTCTTAGTATGTGTCTTTGTGTTTTTTTTTTTGTAATAGAAATCTTCAAAAATAGTCTTGAAATAATCTTAGAGATCATGATGAAACAGGGTTTTAGGAAATATCCTGAACTTTCCAGAGCATCCCTTTTCTACTTATAAGTCTTGATAATGGCAATTCCACTTTTGGTTTGGAGGTACCACAGAACTAGTTTGTGAAAGTGGCTTATGTGTAGTAAGTACAAAGTTCCTAAAACAGCTCAGAGCAACATTCTGACCACGGCTGAAACCATCTGGTCTTTATGTCTTCTCAAGCTCACCTTCTCAACTATGTGCTCCCCTCCCTAACTTCCACTTTGCCCATGCAAAAGGTCGGTTTAGTTTTGCCTCGGGTTCTTTCAGCGGTTTTTTTTTTTTTTTTACCTAGAATCAGATCTATGGAGAGCTAGTTTCTTCTTATCACTGGTTCTTAGTTCAAATTCATCTCCTCAGAGAGGCCTTCACTAACTTCATATATGATACTAATATTAATCCCTTCTTTTCATAGTGATGAGTACAATATGAATCTTTTTTTAACTTATCTCCTGATTACCGTACAAATCCAATGACAGCATGCACACAGTCTAATATTCCGCTATAGGCAAAATGCCTACATACAGTCATAGTTGGTTCTTAATAAATGTTTGTTAAATGTGTAAATAAAACTAGCAAAAAATGTATGTATTCATTCATTCAATAAATTCACCTTATTAAACTGCCTATGATAGTCAAATAAGGATATTATAAGCAGCACAAACAGACCATTGTGAAAATTATCTACAACACAAGGAAGGCCAAGACACGGCAAAAATGGCAGCAGGCCTGACATACAGGCGGCAGAGGATAAAATGCTCAAGGACAGTGTAGCTGAAGTTTCCCTGCTCAAGTGCCGAGTTCAGATGAACACACTGAGGTGAGCAAGCCACCAAGAAAGAAACACTTTTATTCACAGACCAATTCTAACTTGTAATGTGAGATCCTTCCTATTTGTCTCATTATAAAAGGAGTATTTGTCCACTTCCCCCGTTGAACCCCTGGCATATAGGGAATGTTTTACATATTTTACAGACTGCTTCAAATTTTCCAAATCATTTTTAGAAATCTATGTAATAAGCCATTTAAAGTTTTAAAAATGTACTAAAGTAGAGCTCTAACAGATATTTTGGTAAGTGTTTCAAGAGGGTTTTCCCCCAAAATTCAAGTTTTTCAAAATTTTCTCAAGTATTATTTTATTTACCTTGCCATCATCTACTGTATTCCATTTTCTGAGGTAAAGCACAGACGTTTACTGTAAGAACTTGTCTTAGTAACTTTTTCGTCGCTGGGACGAAATACCCAACACTCACAACATAAAGGAGAGGTGATTTTGGTTCAGTCTTTAGCAGTTTCCATCCATCTTCAGCTGTCTCTACGGTAGAAAGGGCCTGGTGGAAGGACCTGGGCAGAGGACAGCTGCTCATCCCATGAGAGCCAGGAAACACACAGGGGTGAGGAGCTCAGGAGGAAGCTGAGCCCTGTCAAGTCACACCCCAGGGAACCAACGCTTCTGAACAGGCTCACTTCCTAACAGCACGTTTGGCTATGCATTCATCAGTGAATAACCCACTGGCGCGTATGCTACCCACCACGATCCTTCCACACACATGAGAGCCTGGCGGGACACTTTAGCTCTCTATCATAAGAAGCCTTCCACTCCTCTACGCTAACTAATTTTCAGTCATGCAGTTTTCACAGCTGTGCCTTTGGCAAATGATCCAGAGCACAGAGTGATGCTTAGACTTTTCACTTAAAACAATCAGGAAAGAAAAGCTCTTCCTATGAAGGAAATAAACTGGTAGGATGCAAATGTAAGAGTACCCAGAATCTACTACACCAAAAAAAAAGTGGTAAGAAACAATGATAGCACATGCATAACACACTGTATCACCCGGAACTAACTTTTCCGAGTGAGTAACCATGTACCTTTTTACGTGTAGAAATAAAATTTTCATTATTGAAATTAAAATTACAATGAAATTTCCAAAGAACTAATTTACTAATCTATCTATATTGTGGATTACTGAAGAAATAGAGCAGAGTAATCAAACACAGATACACGACGCCTGACTGCTACTCACACTAAAGCAGGAAAATCGGGCAGCGGCGCGGCTTCCAATAATATTCCCAAACCAGACTGTACTTGTTCTCTGTTCTCTGATGTTAAAGCAAAAGCCAAAGGAGTAATCAAACGTGGATCCTAACAAATCAGAAACCAGCAAATGGGAGACAGAATAAACAGTGTCAGACGTGTAGAATTAGGGCAGCAATTCTAAAATGTTTCTATCATCTAATGTCTGAACAGATCTTAGACTTTCCCTTGTTAGAGTCACATAGACAGTCATGCAATTAATATGAATATTAGCTTAAAAATTTCGCAAAGGTTTTAAATGTTTAATTGTGCCTAGGAAAACTATGCCTTAAATATTTTGAAGAATTGACAATATCATCCACAACTGATTGATATTTAGAATGGTTTTATTTTTTCTAATCACCACTAAAAAATAAAAATGGCTAATATTTTTAAAACTAAAGTCACAAAATATAAAGTAAAACTACAAATTAACTCTGAAAATTTAATGATTAAAGATGTATACTTAAAGCCCTTCATTCAGTAAATATTTCACATTAGTACAATAAGCCCCAAATCATGCATTATGAAAAGTCTAAAAACTGACAAAACATTTTGATTCAAATCTTTAAAACAGTGTTAATGAAAATACTAATCATTAATCATTTATAAATGAAATGTTAAGTGCCTAGTAGGTGGTCAAGAATAATTCAGTCCTATAGAACTATGGTAAGAGCAGGTCTTTGTCTCTAAACTCTCCATGAAACCCTCCTTTCCTCCTAGAATCACTATTTCTAGTTCCCCATGAAGTAAACTGAAGTGTGGACAGATGTGGTAACTGCTCAAGCCTGCACTAACAAGTGGGAGAACCACTGAATTATGTTCCTTTGCTATAGACATTAAAATAGACTTTAGCATGAAAACAAAGTCCAGTCTGTTTTAATTTCATAAGAGAAGAAACTGAAACAACTGTTCTCCTTTGCGCCCTGTCTCTTTCTTCTGTCCTTTCTATAAAGCCAACCTCCCCTTGCTCAAAGAGTGTCCATTCTATTTGACAAGACTGAGATGTTGCTCAAAATAAGTGTCAATTAGATCTTCAAACTAAAACTGCGGTAATTCTGACATCTGATAACACGCAGAGCTCTTACCCAGTGTTATCACTGCAATTTGTGAGTTACCCACTTTCTGAACGCAGTGCCTCCTCTAGCTCAGTATCCTTCACAATCGAGTGCTGGTCTTCCACGTCTCCTATGCCCCCTGCTACTACGTCATCCATGACAAAACTCAAACGAACACCACCCTCCTCCACAGGCCAACAAGAACAGGAGAAACCCGTAAGTACGACACAGAAAGGGAAGGCTGAGAACACGTTACTGTAAACACTCAGTGCTGAGGGTGAAGAGGGCCTCGCCTTCGGGTTTGTGACATTATGAAATAGTGAGACTATGATTACTACTGCAGACCACTAACAACTTCAAACTGTATTCTAATGGCCAAATCTTAAAGAAGCATAACCTAAAGATTTAGAATATTAAAACAAGTATCTATTAGAAGTCACTTATAGCTGAATAAATCCAGTATTTGAAAAGCTTAGACTCACCTGAAGGATTTTGTAGAAACTTACTTCCATACCAGGAACCAACTGTTTAAGTTTGTTCATTAAATCAAGAGTTTTCAAAATGACATCAGCAGCAAGTTTGCTTTAAAAATAAGTCATATTTAAATTAGATAACTCAAAATATTAGAGCTTATTTCTATCATTCTAAAGAAAATAAAAGAAATCTTTGCTTTTAAAATTCAAGAAGATAAAGTACTATTTCTGCTGAAAAGTAAAATGTCAGTGATCTCAATACCACTGAGAACAAAGTGGCATTAACAGCACAGGTTTAGTCAGTGATTCTTTTTCTACTCTCAAATAGCAATGTGCTTCAACTTTCTGTGTCAAGTAAGTAATAGTGGAATATGACCCATTTAATTCTCAGCTTTACCACTGAAATTATCAACAAAGGGCAACCTTGGGCAATAAACAGAACCTATTATGTAGTGACTAAATTACACGAGGCCAAGTTATCAGCTTTGTACCTGAAAGGAGCATAAAAAAGTCAAGAAAACACTCTTGAAGAACAATTAATGAAAATTATGCCACTTATGGAAATAGGAACAAATTATAGTATCTAGCACTTAGCAGGTCCTCAATAAATGTTAGATGGACTGAGTTTAAGAGGGGAGAGGGGAATAAAAAACAGCTACTATCCATTTTTAAACTATAATTCCTCACAAAAGGCAGAGTTGTCTGTCGTTAAGAAACCTCACAAGTGATTCATTTTCTTATAATAAAACCATTCCTGTTTTTTCATGCTTTTTATTAAAAATTAAAGTGAAAAAAATTTTAAAAACTAAATGTCAAAAAGAAAGTCCAGAAAAGAAATGATCAGGATCCTTGGGTAAACCTCACACATGTGCAGACCAACAAACATGCAACACACACACATACAAAGCCCTAATCAATGAACACGTATCACAGATGCCAATACTTTTTCTAGAAGTATGCAATATATAATTGGAGGAACTTTTAAATTTTTAAAAAAATTTCATTATAATATTTTAATTCTCTGCTATAGCTTGAGTTAAAAGCACACATCAAAGGATGATTCTTAAACTATCATGTTTTTTTGGTACTGGGAATTGAACTCAGGACCTTGGGCTCACCAGGCAGGTGCTGTGCCATTTGAGCTATATCCCTGGCTAAAGTATGATTCTTAGAATCACCACATCTCTGATACTCTTTCGCCTTCAGCCATTTTGCAATTTGGATTTCATATACTCACCATAATTCAGAGTCTGCTACCTTTGTTCCAAACCCCAGATCAATCTTGCCATATGTAAACTGCTGCTCTATCAGAGTGGTACACTTGAGAGTAGTCAGGACTTTTGCAATGTGCATTTTCAGAGTATCATCTCCACACAGAGATAAGTTTTGTTAAGAAACAAAGACTTCTCGAAATATTTTGTATTTGTATATTTTTTAACATTCAGGGTAATTTTACAGAAATCATCACTGTAATCTGATGTAATTGCTGTTACACTTGCTCAATAATAGGTTGGAAAGCTGGAACTCAAAGTACTAAAGTGACTGAGATGAACATACAGATGTTTCTGACTTCAGGGTAAAACAGAGAAAGCAAGGTTTTTCCATAGTATGTTCATTTTTTGCTGGCAGCAATCACAATATTTCAGTAATATTTGTGGAACTAAGGGAAGTTATTTTCTCATTTTGTGTGCACTGTGAATTACTGAGGCCCAAGTTATGATAACATTCAACTAGAGAAAGTCTGACAATACCATTCAAGTCAAGGACAGTGATCAAATGTCTCTACAGTAGTAGTTCTCAACTTTCGTTGGACATCAGAATTATCTGGGTGGATAAAATCACAAACAAAAAGATAACAACACATGTACCTGCCACTAATCCTAAGGTTTCAAATTACTCCAACTGTTTTAGAATCTTTGGAAAATTTCTATTTCTATGCTTTTTCAGTTGTTCCTCAGGTGATTCCAATACTAAGTCAAGATTGAGAGTTAATGCTGCAATTTAAAGGCAGAGAAAAACTAAGGCATGGCAGCTCAGAGAACAGGTGTAATTTGCTCCAGAGCAGAACAAAATTGGACAAATTCTTGTTCCTGAGATACAGTGATTGAGATACAATCTTTCAGGTAAATTTAAAGAGCTCTGGTTGAGATATAGTGGCTTCTTTGCTCATAAGGAAGAGGGACAAGGACTCAGATGACAAATTATGAAATATTAAAAAATTAGAACTTAAAACTTCCTCCCTCCTTCCCTCCCTCTCTCTGTCCGTCCATGTGTCCGTCCGTCCTTCCTTCCTTCCTTCTTTCCTTCCATCCTTTTGAGACAAGGTCTCACTAAATAGTTCAGGGTGGTCTTGAACTCACTATACAGCTCAGGCTGCCCCTAAACTTGCAGCAATCCTCCTACCTCAGGCTTGTGAGTGCTGTAATTATAGGCATGCACCACACACTTGGCTTTTTCTTCCAGCTTGTACCTCAAGCAGCAAACAAACTAGGAGTGTTGTGACGAAATTTTCACATCAAAATGAATTAAGTATCAAACTTGACAACTTTCAAAGCAGTCGAATAGCAAGGTATACCTCTATTTAGCAAAAGCAAACCCAAGGAAATAACTAAGAGACAGCATATAAAAGTTAAGTAGAGAGTGTAATTGAACTTAAGGTCTTCTTTTTTCTAACAAATATACATGTGTTGGTACACTTTTCTATTTTACAAGCAAGTGTGAAGCTATTTTTACTAAAACATTTATGGAATCTTTTGTTTTTAAAACATAAGCCTGCACAGTACAGTACCACTCTGGTATAAAGAGAAATCTGAATCATTGATAGGAAAATGGATATACTATAAGACATATGTTAAGTGAAATAAACCAGACACATAAATTTAATATATCTCACGGTTTCTCTTATATGAGAAACCCAAAGGATAAATAATGAAAGAGCAAATAAAAGATAACAGGAAACAGAGAGACAGATCTTTTGCAAATGGGAAGGGGATGAAGAGAGAGGGAGAAGGAGAAGGAAGGGAGGGGGACGTAAAACGAATTAAGATGCGTATGTACACACACTAACTCTCCACCACGAATGTAGTCATTATATTTGTAAACAGGTATTAAGAAAAATAAAAATTTGAAAAAAAAAAAGCCTAAAACAAAAAACTGGGCTACAATTATGACAACTTCCTCAGCATTTTTTTTATCCATGGACACACTCCATTGAAAATTGGCAAGACTAATCATCCCAAGGCAGTAATTTAGTATCAAAAGCAGAGGTGAGTGATGAGTAATAGGAAATCATTTTAGAACACATCTCCACATCTCAAAATGTGATAAATGTTCAAATGAATTTTAAAGAGCATTTCTTAAAATGTACTTAGCTTAAAAGTTTTACACAAGGCAAAAAGTCTGGATAATTTTTTAGAGACTCTTCACTAAATTCTTCATTTGTTTACATTCTGACTAGATACGAGCATGACAGTGACAAAAATACAAATACACACAAAGTGCAGTAAATCTAATGAGGAGAAAGTTTACGCAGCTTCCATTTTTATGACGGTAAAGGATATTTAACAAAACTTCAAGGGCTTTGACCATCCTTTCACATTTTTTTCTTATTAAGGCCTCATCCAGATTCTGTTCTGTAAACTGCAACAGATCAAGAATTGTGGGCAGCAGAAGGCTCACAAATCGGTCAGGTGAGGAACAGTTAGAAGTATCTATGGCATCCTGGAGAAGCACACAAGATTGGTCATTAGAAGAGAAATATTTTAAGAGAATGAGTGAATACAAAAACTGGGAGGATGCTAAATTTTCCAGACAGCACAAGCTAAAGACTAACATTGATTTTCTCTGTTGTAAGTGCCTCACACACTGTCTGGCATACTCCACTTCTTTCACTACAACACTGATATTCTATCTTAACCCACTGAACAGCTAATAAACAGTGAGCAACACCTACAGACAGAGACAGAATATTATTATTCCAAGTACAGTCATACAACAACATACATAAATTTTGTCAATGTCTTTTCTTATTATATAGAAACAAGTACGTATAAGCTATTCAGGGAAAAAAAGAAAGCACACACACATACACACACACAACTTTGGCAGGAAAAAAAATTCCTTAGCTGATTTTCTGGCAGAGAATCTACTGAGATCATTTAGAAGATAGCAGTTTTTGTAAAGCATACGAAAATTGAAAAATTAGAAGTTTACTATAAATATTTTTGAAAACAAATTGCTAATCAAGAATCAGGAAAGTCAGCCTGTTTAATCATTCTCTTACCTCGAATATTTCCTTGAACAACTCCAATGCTAACACAGAACAGTTTTCTGATCCATCCAAAGGTAGGCTTAACCACCGAAGCAGAGCCACAGTAGGCTCTAGGCACTTAGAACGGCTTCCCAGAACAGCGCTGCCAGATGGAGACTCTTCAAACATCATCTGAGTGAGCACATGGCGCAGCTGAGTCACTGAACAGAAGGCAAGAAGTAATTCTAAAACCTGTGCGATATAAAGTCTTCATTAAACGTCAGTTTCACTGAACTTCAACATACAAGCACATGAGGCTAAAAATGCCACACATTTGTACAGAATATCCTAAAGCAAAAGTTAAAAGTAATTTCTCATTTGTCCTTCAGTATGGTTTTTCAAAAGTGAGATACGTTTTCAGGTTATAAAACATTTGTTAACGGTGCTTACCCCTGACAAGTAGGACAGCAAGAACAAAGAGGGAAAGGCAATTTCAACTGATGTACTTTTATAGTACGGACTTAGTTGTTTTCAAACACAAACATGTTTCAAAAAATGGCAAAAAAGCTTAAAACTGTACAGTATGTAAACATTTAGAGATTAGTCTACTTAAAATTTTTCTGCACATTGTCGTTTTTAAAACAGTTGAAAGCAAGGCACTGTTTTTACATACCTTTGAAGAAGAATCAGGATCCTTCCCATTAAGAAGACCTAACACTTGATTAAGACATGAAGAGAAATGCTCATACCTAGGTTTAAAAGTATACATCAAATGATACTTATGAAATTGATACATGGAAAGGATTTACAAGATAAACAGTTTATGCATTCATTTGAGCTTCTAATACGGAACACAATATTGATCAAGTTTAGATGCTCTCTGACTTAGTTTTATCTCCACAAACCTATCTGAGGGTGAAAACACTGTTAAGACAAAAAGTAAATACTGCACAACTTGTTCTACCAAATAGCACAGTTTAGCAACACAGCATACTCTAACCGCAGGTTATTTATTTTTGTGATCAAGTGGCTGAAAGCGGCAGTTTACAGCCACTGCCTAGCATTGCAGAGTATTACACTACATATTGCTAGCTCAGAATATCAAAATTCAAAATCTGAAGCAGTTGCTATGACTATACATATATATATACATACACATACGTATGTATATGTATGTATACATACACATACACACATATATATGGCTTCTATACTACTGCGAAGTTAAAAAATCACTAAGTCTTATGTTGGGAACGATCTCTGCTTAAAATCTAGACTACGTCTTAGTGCTTAAAAATATAAATTGGCCCATTCGTTTACTGAAACATAACGACTTGTGGCAATAAATAAATCACTGAAAGTTTCAGTAGCTTAACTGCTTTATAACTTAAAAGGCTGTGTTTACTTTGTAAAAATTCAAAGGAGAAAGGAATATGACAATATATTATACAGCTACTTATTTATATAGCACCTAAATTTGCCAAACATTAAATTAGGCTCTGCAAACACAGAAAAAAAGGGACAGGTACCACATCACACGTATCTAAGAGGTACTATTGAAATTATGTTCTATAGAACTAGTGCATTCTAGATTTAGAGAATGATACTATCAGAGAGCTTACAGTCTAAGGATAGAGGCAGAAAAACAGAAAATGATAATAAGAGATAATGCAAAATACGATACTATAAGAGAGGAACATATGGGATGAATAGAACAAAACAGATACTGAACCCAGACTTTGCAGGGCAGGTGTCATTTGGGGAGGATTCCCAGACTTGAACCTCAAAGAGGAAGTACACAAATGAAGAACGAAGGATTTCAGCCTTCCAGAGGAAATATTCTAGAGAAAATACTATTCACAGCAAGTTGGAGGTGCCACCTATAAGGTTAGACCAAGGAACATAAAGTGTGAAGAAGTAAGGCTAAAAGGTTCCAGAGATCAAACACTGGAACAAAAGCTGGATACTTTTTGGAGCTTGAACAAAATAAAAGTATGTGGTTGAAAGAAAACTGAAAAGCTGCACACATAAGTAAAGGAGGAAAAGTCACGGAATGCGGGTGCTGAAGGAGTGACGAAACTGCTGAGGACAGGACAGAATGAGGCACTGCATACAGTAAGATGTTTACGAATGAAACAGCAAAAAGTGGCCTAAAAACAAATAAATTTCCTCAGGGACACAGACATGACGGTGGTCCAATCAGAAGGGATGACTTTTTGTTTTTTCCTGTGTGTAAAACAAAGATATACAGTCATCTTCTGCATGAAAGACAGCAAGGGTAAAATAATAAATACTTGAATCATTATAGGAAATGGGAGAAGCAGCTGGCTAGGAAGTTGACCCAAATTGAGCAGCACTGTTTTATCAAACTTTAATTTAGGAACTCAGACATTAAGTTAGACTTTGGAATAGACTCAGAATTTAGGTTCTACTAATGGTACAGGAATAAAAGAAAACAGATTTTCTAGAAATGATTCTTAGGTTCAAGTCTCTGGTCTAGAAAGGGAAACAATAAAGAAACAAATGTATGGAAGTGGTAATTAAGCAATCTCTTACTTATGCTAAACCAGATAATTTTTCCTCCTAGAGTTTCCAGAAGCATTTCAAAATTCCAAGTTTCTCAGGTTACTACAAAGCTGTTACATAAGCACTGTCTTAGCTACCATGTACCCACAGGTACTGGGTGATTCTTACAATAGGTAAAGAAAGAGCAAGTAAAGTGATGAAACCTCTGGAAGAAAAAGGACTTCTCATCTACAGAAGTTTAAGAGAAGAAAAAATAAACGCTACTGTGAATATTTCTTGGTTTTATAAAGTATCAGTTAACCATCCATATATAATGGTCGGTTTTGCCCTAGTACTTAGTCTGTAGGTTTTTTTTAATAAAATCTTAATTCTATGATTCTTAGAGATCAGGAAGTATCTTTAGATCCTGCTGCTGCTAGCCCCTCATCTGTTCTCAGTGTCTGACTACGCAAAGAGAATAATACATTTTTTATCTATAAATGATGAATTAATTTAACTCTTTGAAGCAATTTCAAAAATTTCTTAATTTAGGACCACAGTGAAGTTTAGGTACTGGGAAAATTTAACTTCAGATGCTGAGCTCTTTGGAAAAATTGCTACCTAATCTCACAATATAAATGATCACATGAAACACTGCGATAATGAAGACATAACTATGTTTTTCCTTTTTACTGTATGACACAAAAGAGGCATGTACCAAAGGAAACATTTTATTAAGAAAAATTTAAAGTCACAGACATAATAACATGAATGTTCCTATAATAATGATATTCTTTCAAGAAACCATAATGCTCAAGATTTAAAACTGGTTTTAAACAGATATCTGTATTTTTTTTTGAGACGGGGGTCTTAAAATTTTGGCCAGACTGGAATGTGTGCCCTGGTTAGTTTGAATTCAAAATCCTTGATCCTCATCCTCCCAAGTAGAAGAGATTCCATGAGTGTACCACCAAACCTGGCGAAGATGTCTGCATTTCAGAGAGTGACACAATGCTGCTGATGTAAGCCATGAACAAAAACAGACAGACAGACAGACAGACAGACAGACACACACACACACACACACACACACACAGATCCTTTGATACTTCTATCTTTCAGTTCAGGAGAGCAAAAGAATGTGAGTAAATAATATTTCAATTCAATTACTGTGAAAACTGTAGAATTCTAAGATAGTTTTATTTATCAAAACCACATAGTGGTTTAGAAAAAAAACAAGTCTTTAAATTTACTCATGTGAGACATACCTGGTAAGATAATCAGCAATTTTAGGATTCTTAAGGAGATCCATCAGTAAGTCCACTGAATACTTTCGTGTCAGGGTACCATCACCATTTATGAGAATATTAAATATTAGTTGAAAAGTCTGATGAATGTTTCGTGCATGGAATAGCTTTAAAGCAAATTAGAAAAGGTATATTACATAAAAAATTAAATTGGCCCCACCCTAAAGTGAAAAAAACTCGATGTTATTTAACTTATCAGAGACTATAAACTGCAAAATTAACTCTTTAAATAACAGAAATAAGTCATCACTTACCTTTTCCCCTACTTCTTCATTTAATGTCAAACTTGACAGTATTGAAAGTGCAAACACAACCACAGTTAAACTGCTATGGGCCAGGAAGGCTATAAGAGTTCGATAAAAGCTTTTCACATTACTCTGAGGAAGAAAAAAGTTTAAAAATAAATTAGAGTAAAAATTGTAAGTTCTAAAAAACAGTTTAAAAAGCTATGCTACACACAGTGGGCAAACTTTTACTAAATATCATTATATACACTTTTAAGAAATGATGTGATCTTTAAAAGATAAACAGTCTAAAGAAAAAATTTAAAACATATAAATGTAAAGTCAAAAATTAATTGTTAGAGACAAAGATGTAGAGAAAAAAATTTTGGTAAAGGTGCCCAAATAGGTGAGAAATGAATTTCTAGCAGGTTTTGTCACCTTAGAATAAATAACTCACAGACGCTAAATTTGAATGTCAATTTTAATGGTTTAAAAGGAATACATGGAGAAAGGAAAAAGAGCTACCTTAAACACTGCAAGAAAAACTGTTTAGCATTTTAAAAGAACTGTAATGAAGAACTCTCATTATGGTGAAAACAAAGAAAATATTTAGCAGATTAGAGAATTTGCCACGTGTTACACATTTTGAGGGAGTGGTTTGTAACATTTGATGATTATCACTTGGACTCGAGACGATTCACTGAGTGAGTGACATAAGTACTTTCATACATGGCTGATAGTACAGACAGGTACCATCTTAGTAAAAAGCAGTTTCTGTATGGGGACTATTGTATATAAGAGTTTCTGTATGGGGACTATTGTATGTAAATGTCTATTGTATGTAAGAGTTTTCTTAATATAAGCATATTTTTAAACTCACAAATTAAAAATACATGTACATATATAAACCTCTCTTTTCTATAAACCTTTTAAAACACTTCATGGCACAACATAAGCTCCCCCTCCAAAATGAGCCTCACACAATGCGGTGCTCAAACAAATGAAAGTGTTTAATTTAAAATCAGATAGATAATAGTGAATAATGCACAACAGAGGGATTTAAAGAATAAGTGAGTTCTTAGTATTTTTCCAAAAGTGGTAAGTTCACTTAGGTGCCTTCATTATAACAAGTGCTGACAGTAGGCACTTACTAATCTTCCTGGAAGAGTGACCATTAATATTATGGGAACACAAGACTAGAGCAAATGGGACTGTCAGTGACATGCCTGCCTTCTATCAGCACAGAAGAAAGCACCAAGTCTTGAGGTACTCAATGTGACAAATAAAGGAATGGTATGGGAAAAATAACTTTCAGGAGTCAATATTTGTGTTACCGTTTAACTTACAGTCTTCAGTCTAAGATATATGAAAGCTGGAATGCTTCAAATCCTTTGCAGGTCACTTTGACTCTTTCTGAGATTTCATGTATCAGCCAGATGGCTATAAGTTAAATGCTCTTTGAAGAAAAATATGGGTAAAATTTCTCCCAACATAGAACTCACCACAAAACAAAGCCTCATCAAACATAATGATAATAATAATAATAAACTTACCAAAGTCTTTATATGTGTTTGGACAGAAAGATTTTGCCGACAAAGATTTGCCAATAATCCTAGACAAGGCATAGTTAACTCATCTTCAGAAGATTGACTGTTGTTTTATATCAATGTTTTGTTAAGGAGAAATAATAAAAAAGAAATTAAACTCATTAGTCAAAATAGTATAGTAATTTATATATCTAAATTCCTTTTGCCCTGCAAAAAAATTCTAACATGTGAAGACAGTCAAGCTCTGGACAGCAGATAATTATTTCATGTTTTGAAACCAAATTATCCTATTCACCTGCATCATGAAAATTTAGAAATAATTGTCAAAGTGAACATGTATCATATTCTTCAAACCCAGATTAAATATAAAGATCAACACTCACTTTCATTAGTGTTTTCCTGCCAAAACCAGTTTATTTTCTAAGTATCAGCCATGAAAATTAAAATTCATTTTCAAAATTTATTGCTAGACTCATCTAAGAGGAACAAATATAAATTAGCCCTACTTGATTTAAAAAGTCAGAAAAAGCAAGAGAGTTGATGTGCCATGTGATTTTACTTCAAAAATAAATCAGTACATAATTTGGTTACATATTCAGTTGCATACTCACATGTGATCTATCAGGAAGGTAATCAGTTCATCTATATTGGCACCAGAATGGAAAATTTTGACATTATATGTTAACTTCTGTAGAAGCTGAATGCACTAAGAATAAGAATATGGTTATCAGTACAAACAGACAAAACCATGTAAGAATGGACTATTATAAATATTATTTTTAATTAGTACATGCTTGCAGTACATAATGATTACATCTATTGTGGGAACTGGTACATGTCCTTCATACCTTGTACTTTTTTCATTCTGTCTCTCTCCCCACCTCTCCCTGCTCCTTCCATCTCTTGATCCCCTTTCCATTTCCAAACCTCTGTTTTCCATTTTTTAAAATTCTTTATTTTTCTATCCCCTTTCTCTTCTCTCCTCCATCTCTGGTTCTCCTTCCCACTTGAAGACAGATCTATTTCCCATCATCTTTTATTTTACAGTTTATTTACATTTTGGCTTTCTCATGTAAAAGAAACCATCTGATATTTATTTAACTTGTGTGTCTGATTACATGCTGAGCATATCTCATTTTAGGAAGTGCAGGTTAGGACAAGAAATTCGCCATTTCTTTTTATTTTCCCCTTTTCAAGTACATACAAGAACCTTATGGTTCATGTATCACCTCACATTTCCCCATACTTTCTCAAACAAAATATCTCCTTGGTGTAGTTTGTCCCCTAGTGTTCACCGTAGTTAGATTTGATCGCCTTAGTAGTCTTACTGAGAGTTGGTGGATCCTTTCGGTGGTGTGGCCTGAAGGTCTTTAGGTCATTGGAAACATCAAGTATTTCTCATGTGATACCTTTTTGATAGTGCTTGTGGGGAGGTTATAAAAGAAGCAAGGCTGACCCTGCTTTGCTCTGCTCCTGGTTCAAGATGTGATCAAGCTCCCATCACTACTATCTGCTATGATGTAGCTGCAGGTTTAAGGGCCTCTTTAGGAACCAAGATGATGCAGATGCCTTGCCCCTGAATCTATCAAACTGTGACCTAAATAAACCTTTTCTCTTTCTAAAGGACCTGTATCAGGTATTTCATAACAGTAGGACAAATATGACTAACATAATCATAATAAACTTGTTCACGTATTTGCCTTAAAATTCAATGCAAGTTAAAATACATACATTATGCATCAATTAACTTTGAGATACTTTTCCTTACAAGTATCATCTCTCAAACTAAATATAGGTTTAATTGGTGACATTTTTCTTTCTTTCAATTGTTTTAATTTTCGATTCAATTAGCAATAATCGTGCCTTGGATAAACCTCAGTGGCTATGATACTGCCACTATGCAAAGCTTACATTTTAGATTCAATGAAATGTGATGGCTTTAAGAGCTTTGAACTTCTGCTAAATATTGAAACCATAATTTTAATTTCTGTAGAAGATTTCCTCAACAGACTAGATGCTAATTCAAACTGTAATTTTAATATGAAGAGCTTACATTTCAAAATGTAGACGTCTGTGTTTATAAATCAAAGCAGTTATAGTGTAGGTATGTTTTTGTTTACTATTGATGACAGATATGGGTAACAGTCCCTTCTTTAGAAACATTTAAATAGTAGTACGTTTGTGTCCAACTAAGCCTTAAAGACAAGGATCCTGTCTAATCATGCTGTTAATTTTCACATACATTATAAATTAGCAGTTTATAAAAGATATTAACAATTTTAACCTGAGACTAAAGAATAGGGAACAGTTGATAAGTCAGAGGATACTGTTAGGTCTATATACCTGCAAAAATACTGAATCACTATGGCAAGCACTGCTGCGACAAACCACTCCTGCCAGCACACTGTTTAGGTTGTACGTATTTTGAAGACAGTCTCTGGTTTCATTGTCTATAGCTGTAAATTAACATAAAATGACGCAATAATTATTTTATATATGGTCTTCATGGATAAAGGAAAATAATTTAACATTTATTCTTTTTTTGTCTTTTTGAGACAGGGTTTCGCTATGTAGTTCAGGCTGGACTTGAACTCACTTTGTAGCCCAGGCTGGCCTCAAACCTGCAGCGATCCTCCTGCCTCAACTTTCCCAGTGCTGGGATTACACATGCACCACCAGGCCTGGCCTTTAGAATTTATTCTATATAATCTTGTCATTAAAGAAAATATAGTATGATACAGTTACTTTACTTATCAATGTCTTCCAGCTGAGACATTCAAATGGTTTTTCTGTGGAGGAGAGTATCAAAGAAAACTTGCTTTACATATTTGTAGAAATTTTGTGACGAAAATATCACCTCAATATTTCTTTTAAAGGCCTCTTAAGTACAAAATCTATTAATGAACAAATATAACAAAATAAATGGATTAGCACTTAAAATTTTTCTAATATATTTAAATGTTGAAAGTGAGTTGCATTTTCATACAAAACAGTGGCAGATAGGGAAGTAGAGCCTTTTTAGAAAGCAATTTAGTACACATAATGGCTATTGTTTAAAAAAGACTTGGAAATTATTCAGGAACTCTGTCCCACAGAAATACACCAGTATCTGGGCAAAATTCCATAATAATGTTAATTGCACTAGGGAGTCTAATAACAAAAACATGAAAAAGAATAAAAATCAGCCAGGCTTGGTGCCATGCACCTACAATCCCAGCCACTCAGGAGGTTGAGAGGGGAAGAAGGCAAGTTTAAGATCAGCCTAGCCAACAGTGAGATCCTATCACACAAAAACAGAAGCAAACCTAAATAAGAAACCAGAACATCACTGTCCACCAGTAGGATAAAATCTGAATCAATTACAGTGCCCAGTAATTATGGTACTAGGAATCTACTAAAAAGGCACTGATATCAGAAGAAATATCCAGTGTTAACAGCAGTTGTATCAAAAACAACCAACAAGTTATCTAAATTTATCAGTTGTAACATAGAAAAAGATCTGGCAAGAAAAAAAATACCAAATATTAAATGAGATTTTATTCCCAAAGGCAAAAATGATGAACACAGAAGGTGGTAATAAGTAAATATTTATCCCATTTTACTCTCTTTCTATATGTTACTTAATTTGGTAGCTACAATGCTACATGCATCTATTTAAAGTTAAAGATTCAGTTCCTCAGGCTACTACCTACACTTCAATCTTAAAGGCTCTACGTGGCAAGTGGCAACTCTACTGATCATAGACCTGGATTTCTACCACTGAAGAAAGTTCTACTGTTCTATTGGACAATATATACTGTGGATTACTGGAATTTATATGCTACACTTATGTTACTTTTATATTCACACACAGAAAACATACCCTAACCCCCTCCACACCTACTCATAAACAGGGGTGGGAGTATGTGATTATTAAATAAACATTTATTTCAAAACTAAACATAAGGGCAAAATAGAAAAATAATTAGAAAAAGCAACAACAGCAATACAAAAAGCAGCAGTATTTTTATCCTTAGTTCTAAATTTATGTAGTCTATCACAGAAAAATGATTCTTTGGTAGCTATGATTGTGAGTTGTTTTATTTAAGACTGGCATAATGTGTATGTGGGTTTTTTGTATTTCAATTCAAAAGTAGCCCCCCTTTTAAAAAGTACAAAAGTAGCCAATTTAGCAAAGTATATTTCTCTCTGGAGAACAGAAAATTTTTGATATGCTTTAGATTTCTTGGTCTAATTTAAGAAAGAATATATATATATATTCTTCACATGTATATATATCTGAATCTCTCTTCTTCAAGAGATTCATGACACATAGTAACTCTGAAAGGTTTTGCAATGAAGAAATCTTTTGAGTATGAATTATTCTCCAAGATATACTATAACTAAATCTGTACTTTCAAAAATATTAAATTCATACATTTTCCAAATACTGAAAAAGAAAAATTAAATGCATTACCTAGTTGAGACAACAAATTGATAACACTTAAGATCAACGAAGCACTTATGTTTGGGTCTTCAAGCAGTTCTACAAGGCAACTCAGGCATTTACTTGGTAGTATCTGATTAGATGAAAATAGTCGTGTCAGCTTTTGTCCAGAAATTACCTATAAAATCATAATCAAATAAAAAAACTCAATTTTTTCAAAGTGCCATTGTCCTTTTCTTTCACAAGGTAGAAAATTCCCACGTTATCTCTAACCCCTCCCTCACTAACTAAAGTAATGATCTGGACCTCAGTTTCAATTCATCTTCTCCAGGAAACTTTTCCTAAGCTTCCTATACCATCTAAATTTACAACTAGTTTACAGTACACCATGCTTCTATTTAATGGGCTGACAAACTTTTGACTATCAAGCAATACTTACCTTCCACACTGTACTGAGCACTACATGAAGCGGTTAAAAACCTGCACCTTACTACCAACATTGACTTTGCAAATAAATTATAGTTCCCTCGTTCCACCGACTTTGGTGGAAGAGAATGCAAAATAAACTCAAAGGCTAACTCTACAACTGCTCCTTTTCAGAGATAAAAGCTGAGCCCCAATGTTAAGGGATTATAGAGAAATAAAGTTAAAAAAATTTTAAAGTAGCAAAAATAGGCATTTAAAGTTTTTATTTCTGTTTATTGTATATTTTTACTCTTTTCTTACACCTGAGACAGATAAAATAAGAGTATAAATTTGGGATTAAAAGTCAAAACCAGTTGGCAGAAAGCAATAATTTTCAAAATGCTTTACAAATATACTACTAAGCAACTTTTTCTATAAACATAATTGCCACTAGTTATTTTAGAATTAGACTAAACCTGTCTGAAATACTTCAAAAGATCAGGCCTAAGGAGAGTTCTTTAGCATCTTTCTAATCTTTCTTTTCTGAGTCTTTCATTATCTCACCCACATCAACTTTTTGTCTAAAGCTTTGCTGATAAATTTTACACTATCTGTTCTCAAGGAGTAAGTATTTTAACATTACTTAAGTAAAAGTCTGTAAGTTATAATACTGATAATGATTATTTTAGGGTAGAGAACCTTCTGAATGAACACTGCTGTATCACCTATTGGTAAATGTACCCTACAGAAAATTAAGACATTTTCTGTTTTAAATGTGATTCCCCTCAGGACTAGACCTAAATCACCATACACAAGTAGTCTAACAAGTAAAAATTATTCAGTACTGTGCAAGGTAAAAATTTACAAATTTGCTTTCTAAATTCTCCCTTTACTCACAAACAGTGCATGTTTTATTACAAATAGAATTTAACAACTAATACTTACACAGCACTTATTCCGGCCCTCGCACTGATTTAGGTACTTTACATATAATAATGCTTTTCTTCTTCATTACTCTGTAAGGTAGGTGCTATTAATTTTGTTTTGTGGATGAGTAAATTGAGGGACACACTGCTGACATAAGGGCACAACTGGGATTCACACCCAGGGAGCTTTGTTCCTGAACCTATGCTTTTAATCACTAGTCACAAGATTAGTGGTATAAAAAACACCATCAAGAAACAGCTGTCAATAAAAAATGCAAACCTCAAGTTCTGCACGGGTCTACAAGGACAAAGTATGGCAGCAGAACTTCAGAAGAATAAATAATCCCCTTTCACATGACACCCATTTCTACATCCTCAGAAGTTGCTCTCACAAGGTCTGCACAAAGACATTCACCAATGAAAATACAAATACTGCTCAACAAAATGCCAAAAATTAAGAACTGTGAAAACACCAAGAATTGGTTTGGATTAGTGATGGTAAATTTCATAGGCTATACTCTTTTGGTAAAATACTATAATGTTTTGGAAAATTTGTTTCAACTAAAACAATGTATGTGTATACCTTATTACTTAATGATTCCCCTCCTAGGTATATCAGAGAAATGAATGCATATATTCATCAAAAATTATGAAATGTTTGTAAATTATGTTCATAATTCCATTCAGAGCCAGAAATAACTAATTTGTCTGTCTATCTACCTACTACCTACCTGTCTACCTATCTATCATAGACAGCTAAGCTAGATAAAAATATCATAGGCAGTCAGACAGGCTAGGCCCGCAAGGGAGTCAATATAGAGGTAAAAACACACTGCACTGTGGCCAGAAGCACATCTGTTGGAGGACAGGCCTCATGATAAACACAAAATGACCAGGTCTACATGCCTCCCCAAGAGAAACAATAAATTATATTACAGCTTTCATCCCGGTAGGTGGCCAGAACCTCCCGATTTGTTTTTTCCAAGAAAGGCCCTTGTTCTTTCCAGGTGCACTTGCTACCTGACCTGCTTGTCCACTGGATCGCTATTACCTAAGTGGCTATACTTGTAATCTTAGTGGTTGATCAGTTTTTTCCCCAGTTGTGCCCACCTGGTGATTTTGTACCTACCTTGTGATTTTGTTCTATGAAACTTCCTTTGTAAAATGGGGTCCACAGCAATGCACTTGGGATCCCTCCTCTGCCTCAGAAGGTATTGTTTATTCCCCAATAAATTTTCCTACTCTTAACCTCCCTTGTTCCCCAGAATTCATTCTTCAATTTTGGGGAACACGAACTCAGCGTATAGGGACATCTGGTAGTTTGGGTGTAACATTTATTTCCCTTATATCTAACTATATATAAACATGGAATAGAATAACAAGACTATGGATAAACTGTGGTAAATTCATACAATGGAATTCTATAAAATAAAAAAGAATGAAGTACTGGTATATGTACAACTTTAATGAATTTCAGATGATAGTGAAAAAAATGTACGTTAAGTTCCTCACTGAACTGTCTGGGACACTCAAAAAACCACTTGGGGTCTGGAAATGTTCTACATCAAGATTTGATCTCATGTATTTGAGGGTACATGTGTAAAAAAAAAAAAAAGCCGCCAAGCTCTTTGCTTGAGATTGACGTCATGTACTCAGTGTACACTCCCAATTACAAAAACGATGTAAAACAATTACAAAAACTTCAAGTCAGTGTTCTTCATATCTTAGCATTCATGGTAAAAGTCTTATGTGAAATCCTTTGAAAAGTTTAGAAATACAGTACTGATGGGTCAGACATTTATTCCCAAATTGCTCTGAAATTTCCTCACAACTCAAAATCCAGAAAACACCTGTTTATGTTTCAGATTAGTATTTCTAAAATGCTTTCCTCCTAATTCTAAAATGAAGATTCTGGCTCTTGGAATCCTAAATGTTTTATCCTAACTGAAAAGTAGCCTTAAGGATTTATTACTACGTTTGCAGGGTCTTTGCTAGGGCAATGATTGAAAAAAAGAAGACAGTATTCAGAGGTACCTAAAGTTGTGAAAAACAGCAGTAAACTTAAGAGAGCAAGGCCACACTTGTTACATCCCATTTTCTCTAAAGGCCAGTGCTGCTGTAGCACTCGCCATCATCGGAATACTGATTACTGTGCAGGTATTCCGCTAATCGTCCATTTGCATTTTATCATACAGTTAATATAACAAATGGAATACACTTTAAAATTCTGTTTTATGTTAACAAACGGAAAGCTGCGACCATGAATTAAAATGAACTTTGGTTGAACTTAAATTTTTAATTTAAACTGAGATTAATGTTATTTTAAATCGTAGGAACACGTTACAAATGTCAGGGGGAGATTTCGACTAAAATAGAACGGTCTAGACAAAACCACCAGGACCTAAGAGAAAAAAAAAAAAAAAAAGAAAGTAATCCAATATTTTAGGATTAAAACTACGTGAGCAATATATTTTTGGTAAAGAAAAATAGACCACCAGCGAGGGTGCTGGTCTTAACCCAATGAAAGTTGAAAAGCCATCCTCCTGTTCAACGCTAGTTCAAACAAAAACTGACATTGGGAACTGCCTACGAGCAGAAGTTTTCAACCCGCCTCCTCGCGACCTCGGTAGCGCAATCACTGTATACTAGAGGGCTTTGGCTGTCGAAAGAAAATAAAAACACAGAAACAAAGCATGAATCAAGGAGAAAAAGGCGGCCCCGAGCTCTCCCCACCTCTGGGAAACAAAGCCCAACTCTGCCCGCCCGTCCCACACTCTCCCGCAGTCTCCCCCGGAAGGGGACAGCCCAGGGGCCGGGGCGCCCCTCCTCGGCCACGCGGGGAACTGACCACTAAGGGAAAGGCCCGCTTCGTCCCGAAGGCCCAAACCCCTCACCTCCAAGTGCCGCAGAAGCTGCGTGGCGTTCGCCTCTGACTTAACGGCTTTGTACTGACTGATGGTCAAGAGCAGAGACTTCAAGCAAGCGGTGGAGTCCATGGGAACAGGTGCCCGCCCCGCCCGCTAGGGGACACCGGTCGCCGGCTCGGGCCTCCAGCTTTCGCCGCGCTTTTTTGGATTTTTTCAGCCCCACCCCTTCCACCGCTCCTCCAACTTCCGGTTCCGGTTGGGCTCCGGAAGTTCCTAGACGGCCTGGGGGACCCCGCGGGATGACGCGCTGGGTGGGGCGGGGGTCGCGGTGCTCTGTGGGTCTGTGAGGTGGGCCGCGAGCGCCCCTCCGGCCCCCAGTCTGAGAGGCCGCGAGGTTTCAGTTTGAGGGCCGCGAAGACGAGAGTCTCGCGAGAAACGCGATCGCGGCTCCAGCCGGGAAGGGCTGTGGAGACGGACGGGCTCGGCGTCTCCCGTGGGCTCGGCGTTCCTGTTCTCCTCGGCCCTCGCGCCGCAGGGCTGGGTTTTCCACTGAGCGTCATCCTTTACCCGAGAAATGGGCGCTTCCCCTTAGTGTAGACGCGCTGAGGACCTGTGGGAGGAGAATTTGGGTCCTAGATGTGGCGGCGGCATGGGCGGGGCCTCTTCGTCCTCCGTGTGCCCCTGGTGCCCGCGAGTGGGTGTCTCCTGAGGTGAGGCGGTGGCAGGCGGGGTTCTGCGGCGGGGCGCGCCCCCAGCCTCAGTGTGTGTGAGGGCCGTGTCTGTCCGGCGTGGCCGCGTTGTGCGTCCCCACGGCAGGACGTGGCCCCAGTTGTGTTTCTTGGTCGGAGATCGGGTGCGTGTGTGAGCGGTGAAGCGAGCGACTGAGTGGAGCTCTCGGCTGCATGTGTCGGGGAGACGAATAAAGGGTGTAAAAGCCGTTTGTGGACAGTAGCGCGTCAGGCCGTTGACGGAAGTCACCCACAGCTCATGCTCTGTCTGTTCTGGGAACGTGATTTCTGCATCCTACTTGTTTGAAAGGCTGAGTTTATTTTTAAAAATCAGTTTAAAATTAAAAGCTGAAAATAATTTAGCCAGTTGAAACATTCATGTAAAAGTGTGGGGGATACCTGAGGTTTTCATCTGTCGATTCGTGCTGCATTAACTATCGGAGATAAAATGAACTAAGGACTGCGTCCTGGCAGAAAGATTCCCTCGTATATCTCTGTAGCAAAGGAAGTGTTAAGAAAGGAAGTGTGACAGTACTTTAGGAGCTCAGGTAAATGAGAGGAGCCATCCGTGACGGCGTGGAGCCGAGTGCTTATAAATCTTGGGACGTTCTCAGTGCTTCAGTGTCATAAAGTAAAATCTCAGAGTAATATCTTTCTCATTCAATGAATAATTGGTTGAGATTATCCCAAGTGCTTGGCATTGTCCTGAGTACTAGAGATTCAATGAGTAAAACAAATCCTACTTGGTGTAGCACGTGCTAGCGGGAAAGCTACAAATTATAAGTAGGTAAGAACGTGATATGGAAAAAAAAAGTTATTCTAATGTTGATGATCAAGAAGGGAAATGAGAACGTCCGCATAGGCCTTCTCACTGAGTAATACCTGAAGAAATACTTAGAGGAATTGAGAAGATAGCCATAGTCTAGGGGAAAAGGGTTTTAGAGGGAATAGCAAGGACGGAGGCCCTAAAAGTGAGAGTATGACGGTCTGCCCGGAACAGCAAGGAGCCACATGGCTAGGAGACGGAGGATAAAAGGAAGAGGCAGTTAGGAGGTGTGGCAGCCCTGGCATGTGATTCCAGCGCTCTAGAAAGCTGAGGCAGGAGCGTCACAAGTTCAAGTCCAGATTGGGCATCTTAATGAGACCCTTTTCAAAACAAATAGGGAGTGGAGAATGTAGTTTAGTACGAAAACTATGGATTCAATCCCCAATACTGCAAAAGAAAAAATAAATTTTTCTGACATAATTAAACTGCCTCCATTATAATCATTGATAAGTGTTAAGTTTGTCAGTGTTAAACTTTTCACCTATTACAATAAGTGCAGCATTATCTTCGTTTTGAGCACCCAGCTCAAACCTGCCAGCTGTGCCATCTTTGGAATCTTGCATTTTAATTTAAGCAGTCACAAATTTTGCACTGCTTCTTTATTCACTTTAATATCATCTTTCATAAAAATTTTTCACCGTTTGAAACTGTCAGAAGCTCTGGCTGCTTTAGTCAGTGATACTTGTATGTCCTAATTTGAGAAACACAAAGCCATGCTCATAGTGCCCTGAAAGGGGGAAGAGACATTGAAGATGAAGCTAAGGCCAGATCACTGAAGGTTTTGAGCTGGAGTGCAGTGCTGACCTGTTTTTAAACTGGAGCCTGATTGATGTAGCTTGTGACTAGACTGATTACTTTTGAGAGAGCTAAGACTAGAAATAGGGAGACTCATTTGCTGGAGTCTATATAGGATATCTAGAAGAATTAAGTGGAGTTTGAAAAGGGATGAAAAATTTTGACAACGTTTTGTGAGATCACATGAGCCCCCCTTGCTGACTGAATGGGAAGAGGAGTGAGGTAAGGCATGAGTCTAGAAGAGATTCTGCGTTTCGAGTTTGTATGGTTAAGACAAGATACTGTGGTAGTTGATATTATTCCAGTGTATTTTATGTTCAGTGAAATTTTATATAGTTTGTCTTACTGTTTTAAACCATTCTCACTAAGTTTGTTCCTGGATATAATTCACTTTTTACTACACTAAGAAGACTTCTTTTTTTTTTTTTTTTTAAAATCAGATTTTGTTGTTACTCTTAAAAAAAGATACTGACTTTTGGTACTTTTCTCTTTTTTGTGTTTTTTGAGATGGTCTCACTATGCAGTTCAGGGTGACCTTGAACTCACTTTGTAGCCCACATTGGCCTCAGACTTGCAAGATCCTCCTGCCCCAATCTCCTGAGTGCTGGGATTACAGGTGTGCAGCACTACTGCCACCACACCCGGCTTTTGGTACATTTTAATCTCAGCTACTTACCAAAACTCTAAGAGTTTTATTTATTCCCTTAGACTTTCTACCTATATATCATCTGCAAATAATAATTTTATCTTTCAGTATTTGCTGTCTTTATTGCATTGTGGAATGCAATATGGAAATCTCTATGGAAAATCATACTAATGTGTGATTTATAAATTAATAATAATAATTGTATTTTAAAGAATTTTTATTAGTATCTACTTGTACATAATGCCTTCTTTCAATTATGGGGAGTTGGTACACATATATAACATATCTTAATTCTTCTGTATTTTAACACTTTGTTGGCTTCTGATATTCTTTATCATGTTTAGAAGATTCCTATCTATCTATCTATCTATCTATCTATCTAGGAGATGGGGGTCTTGCTATGTAGCACAGGCTGACCTTGAACTCTCTTTGTAGCCCAGGCTGGCCTCGAACGTACATAGATCCTGCCCCAGCCACCTGAGTGGTGAGATTACGGCATACACCACCACACCCTGCTATTTTAACCACTGCTAAAAAGTGTGAGATGTGCGCATACACTTTATTTTCTCCTTTAAAATAATGCAGTTGAATATTTTTTTGTTGTTCTTGGGATGATGATAATGATAGCTTACACTTACTGAGCACTTACCATATGCAAAGTGCAGTTCTTAGTCTCTTTGCCTTCTATTTAGTCTTTATAACAATCTCCTGATGTAGGTAGTATTATGATCACGATTTTACAAATGAGAAAACCCTAACAGAGAAAGGTAAAATAATTTGTTCAGCATCATACAGGAAGTAGTAATGAGCCCTGTGTCTGCTAGGCTGCCGGTCTTGATTTGCCATTATTTTTATTCAAGATTTAATGCTTTGGTTCCAGAGTCAAAATGTTGCCTTTTTTTTTTTAAACTCAAGTGCTACTCATTGTTTTGTATCTAGTTTTCCAGATAAGATGAAGTGGCATACATTTGATTTTACTGTTTCTTGAAGACCTGCCTGCTCAAGGTTCTTGAGTAAAAGAACGAAGTCCTTTGTAATAGCTCATTTAAAAATTCCTGGCCTTTCAAAAAATAGATACCATCACATTTGTGGAATAGATAGAATCTGTTTCCTGTGTTAAATGTGAAGCTGTTTTCTATGACAGAGGTGTCCACAGTGGTTTATGTACACCTTGGAGGATATGTGAAAATGTTTATTGAGGTATGGAAACAAATATTAAAACTCACCCATTTAACTTTATCTCGTTTTTTGTGGTAGTAATACTTGAGTAATAGATGAGTAATGCTGGTATATTTTCAGTGTATTCTCAAAATTTTACTGTTTTAGGAATATGTGATCAGAGAACTTCAGACTCTTACAAAAGTCTTCAATCTGGAGAGATCATTTGGATAGGGATGAATTATTCATTTCTGTACTACATATGCTTCTAAATTATTTAATTGAATGGAAAAACAGCAAAAACTAATGTTTTAATTTATTATGAAATATTGACATATAATTAATTACATTTACATTATAATTTGCTGATTACGAACACTGTAAGTAATTTTGTTTCTGAGTGTGTCTGTGCATATCACCCATTCCAGCTCATGCTTATGCATCAAGCTTAAGTAAAATCAAGTATACCACTAGAAGTAATGAGACATAGTGAAAAGAACATGATTTTGTAGTTGTTGAAATTTAGGGGTGTGAATTCCTGCTCTTACTGAATTTTTAGTCATGAGAAATCTTTGAAGTCTCAGCTTTATAATTGTATGTGTGTGTGTGTGTGTGTGTGTGTGTGTTGTATTTCTAGGATCAAACTCAGGGCCTCGTGCTAGTATTGGCTAACATTCCCAGCCCTGTTTTATAGCTTTAAAACTGTTTGTAGTAATACTTACCTTTTAGACTTAAGTGACTTCAGATGTTATTCATTGTGTATAGGTACTTAGCCGAGCGTCTGACACAGAAGCTGGTGAAAATCTTATGTTCAATAAAACCAAAGTTAATACACCCCATTAGTTTTCTGTGAAAGGAAAACTTCATACTCACAAGCTTAACCTGCCTTCTCACCTTGTTACAAATGTATGCCTTTCTAAGATAACAGCAAGCAGGCAATTTTCTTAATTTTTTTTTTTTTTTTTTGGTTTTTCTTTGGTACCGGGAACCGACCTTGCGCTTGCCAGGCAAGCGCTTTGCCGGTGAGTTAAATTCCCAGCCCCTTGCCACTATTTTTTGGAGGGAGGTATGGGGAATCAAACTCAGGACCTTGTCTTGCCAAGCAGGTGCTTGTGCTGCTGAGCTGTATCCCTGGCTACTATTTTCTAACTCTAAGGACAATGAAATATTTTAAAATTGCTGACAATACTCCACTTTTGGAGAATGTGCCTAGGGGTAGCATACACTTTTTCCAGTGGTTCCTTACTCATGAGTATTTGAAAGGAAGTAGTTTAATATCTGAAGGTGCTTTTTTTCAGAAAAATTATAAACTATCAGTACACATTGTAGGTGTATGCAACATTCAAAACAAATTAATATATATTAGATTTGCCTGTGTAAATCCAGAAGTAATTGGCTAGATAGTTCTGAATAGAATTAAAACCTTGCTTCTGTACTAATTTTGCTTTAGGCAGTTGTATTTCCAATATTGGTAGATTTGTAACATAACTAGGAATTTACGGGTATACGTTTCAAGGCTCTTCCTTCCTGACTTAAGATGCCAGATAGTATCAACAA